GTCCGTAAACGGTGCCGGAGGCCGCTCTGGGCTCCTCTGGGCACCGCCCCCGGGGCCGGTTTTGTGAGGATGTCTCAAGCGAGGGCGCCGGTTTGGATTCGTCCGGCGGATCCCACTGGATCCACCGATCCGTCCGGAAACGGTGCCTGAGGCTGCTCTGGGCTCCTCTGGGCACCTCCCCCGGGGCCGGTTTTGCGGGGATGTCTCAGGCGAGGGCGCCGGTTTGGGATTCGTCCCCGGATCCAGCGGATCCGTCCGGATCCGTCCGGAAACGGTGCCGGATGCCGCTCTGGGCTCCTGTGGGCACCTCCCCCGGGGCCGGTTTTGCGGGGATGTCTCAGGCGAGGGCGCCGGTTTGGGATTCGTCCGAAAACGGTGCCGGAGGCCGCTCTGGCTCCTCTGGGCATACCGCCCGGCGGGGCGCGGTTTTTGGCGAGGATCGTGTCTCAAGCGAGGGCGGCCCGGTTTGGGATTCGTCGACGGATCGATCCACCGGATCTGTCTGGAAACTCGAGGCCGCTCTGGGGCGTCCGGGCACTGCCCCCGGGCCGGTTTTAGTCAAGAGGGGAAACACAAGCGAGGGCGCCTGGTTTGGGATTCGTCGGCGGATCCACCGGATCCACCCGATCTGGTCCGGAAACGGTACCAGAGGCTGCTCTGGCTCCTCTGGTCGCCTCCCCCGGGGCCGGTTTTGTGAGGAGTTTCTCAAGCGAGGAGGGCGCCGGTTTGGGATTCGTCTCGGCGGATCCACCGGAGCTAAGTCCGGAAAACGGTTGCCGAGGCCGCTCTTGGGGCTCCTCTCCTCTTTCCTCTGGGCTCCTCCCCCGGGGCCGGTTTTGTGAGGATGTCTCAAGCGAGGGCGCCGGTTTGGGATTCGTCGGCGGATCCACCGGATCTGTCCGGAAACAGTGCCGGAGGCCGCTCTGGGCTCCTCTGCTCCCCGCGCCGGGGGTGAGGATGACGGTAGTTCCACAGAAACTCCCTCAAATTAGGCAGCATGCTTCCTCTCCATTAATCGACTTCCGCAATCCTAAATGGATGGGGTTGGAGAAACGCGCCGCATCACCGATGCATCGGCGCTGCATCGGCGACATCGGCGTGGGGGCACACGGGCTCCACATCGAGTGCATCGACGCTGCATCGGCGATACGACGCGATCCTCCGATCCCATCTACTCCAACCCAACCCCCATCTGGGAGGCCTAGATTTTGGCCCAGTATAATTCCCGTCGTCGTTGCTGTGCCTGGCAATGGCGATAAGATTCCGAGCAGACGCTGCATCGTCGTGTTGATGTCATTGCTGTGTGAATAGCCGGTTTGAGCTTCAAGCTGGTCGCTTGAAGGCCCCTGAACCATCCTTCGAACAACTCGTTCCCAGACACCACACTGAAACACCCGATAGGCTTCAAGCTTGATTCCGGGAGTCTCGGAGGATCCCTTCTGTAGTTCTGCACGGCGGCTTTCGCCGCACAGTCTGTTACCCATACTGTTGTTGCATCGCGCCGCCAGGAAACAAGCATGTGAGTTCAGTGGGGGCCCGACCACAAGAACCCCTCCACAAGAAACTCAACCCTGAGACCCCAGGACGTCCATCGATTTGTGGTGTGGGAACGTCCCGCCTTCCACAGAAAAACCATGAAACCCAATTACCCCAGTGCGACCCTACCTAGAAGTTGGAGCCCCTAGGAAAGCAGCATTAGTTGCTATGCTATGCTATGCTATGCTATGCCATGCTATGCTGCGCTATGCTATGCTATGCTATGCTATGCTATGCTATGCTATGCTATGCTGCGCTATGCTATGATATACTATGGTATGCTGTGTTATGCTATGCTAAGCTATGCTGTGTCATGATGCGCTGTGCTATGCTAAGCTATACTATGCTATGCTATGCTATGCTATGTTAAGCTGCGCTATGCTATGATATGGCATGTTCTGATATGCTATACTATGCTATGCTGCGCTATGCTATACTATGCTATGCTATGTTATGAAATGATATGATATGCTGCGCTGTGCTATGCTGTGCTGTGCTGTGCTGCGCTATGTTATGCTATGATATGCTGCGCTATGCTATGATATGCTGGGCTATGTTATGATATGCTGTGCTGCGCTATGCTATGCTACGCTGTGCTATGCTACGCTGTGCTCTGCTATGCTAAAGCTCAGCGAAGCTAAGATGAAGGTAAGCTAAACTAAGATAAACCTGATCTAAGATGAAGCAAAGCTAAGCTAAGATGAAATAAGCTAAGCTAAGATGAGATAAACCACGCTGAGCTTAGGGGACGTAACTGGGGGAACCGCGGGGCGGATCCTGGGGGAACCGCCCGGGGCGCGTTCCACTGCCCGGCCCCTTTAAGCAAAGAGAGTAAGAACCCTTCTAGGCAGAGCCTAGGTAGGGAATAAGCCCAGGGCACCCTGGAGGCAAGCAGTGTGCTTCTTGGCATGGGCCTCCACTGTACAATCCTGGCCGACTCTGGGCCACTGGCGGCGTTCAGCCTCTCGGGCGCCCGCGCTCCCGAGGCCGCCGCCGCGCCGGGCTGCCGCGGGCCTGGCAACGCCCAGAGGCGGACGTCGGAGGCGGCGGTGATGGCGCCCCGCCCCCCCCTCCCCCTACAGCGGGAGCCCACCCTGACTCCGGATCCGCCCTACTTTGGGGAAATTCGTAAGTGGGGCTTAGAATTTCCGCCTTACTTTTCAGGCCCCGCTGCTGCCAAATTCCGCCCTACTTTTCTGCTGCTGTTTCCGCCCTACTTCTGTGGATTTCCGCCTTACTTTATGTTGGGTGCAGAAATTTCCGCTCTACTTTTTCGGCCTCTTATAGGTGGATTTCCGACGCAATTTTAAGCTGGAAAAATAGCCAAAGTAGGGCGGATCTGGAGTCAGGGCATGCAAAGACACACCCTGCTTGCCTCCAGGGTGCCCCCGGGCTGCTCGGGTTCCGATGGCTTCGCCACGGAGCACGCGACGCTCCCGCACCAAGCATCGACGGACGTGTCCTGGGGTCTCAGGGGCCGGGCTTCTCGTGGTCGGGCCCCAGGGCTCGCGCTGTGCTGCCGCCCTGGGCCCGCCGCCACGCAGGCCTCGAGGCCTTCGGAGCACGGGGGCGGCAGGAAGTCGACTCTGGCCGCGGGCCGCTGGGGGCCGCACGGGCCCCCTGCTGCCCCTGGGCTCGCGCCCGAGCTTCCGAGGTCTGCTCCAGGGATGCGTGCTGGAGAGGATCTGCGTTTAGCCAGGTTGATGTAGATAGATGCGTGTACATAGCTTTCTATATATATATATATATGTGTACACACGTGTATATATTTATATATGCACGACGTCTAAACGTTTATATATACACACATCTATATATGTAGATACCAGTGCACATACATATGTATACATATATACATATATGTAAAGGTACAGAACTACATATGCTCACACACATATGTCTATATATATGTATATATATATGGATATGCGTGTGTGTGCGTGTGTGTGCGTGTGTGCGTGTGTGTGTGTGTGTGTGTGTGCGTGCGTGCGTGCGTGCGTGTGTGTGTGTGTGTGTGTGTGTGTGTGTGTGTGTGTGTGTGTGTGTGTGCGTGCGTGTGTGTGTGTGTGTGTGTTGCGTGTGCGTGTGGTGTGTGTTGTGTGTGTTTGTGTTTGTGTGTGTGTTTGTGTGTGTGTGTGGTGGGTCCGTGTCCGTGTCCGTGTCCGTGTGCGTGTGCGTGTGCGTGTGCGTGTGCGTGTCCGTGTCCGTGTGCGCGTGCGCGTGCGCGTGCGCGTTCGTATTCGTGCGCGTGCGCGTGCGCGTGCGCGTTCGTATTCGTGTGCGTGCGCGTGCGCGTGCGCGTGCGCGTGCGCGTGCGCGTGCGCGTGCGCGAGCGCGTGCGCGTGCGCGTGCGCGAGCGCGAGCGCGAGCGCGAGCGCGAGCGCAAGCGCAAGCGCAAGCGTGCGTGCGTGCGTGCGTGCGTGCATGCGCGCGTGCGTGCGCGCGTGTGTGTGTGTGCGTGTGTGTGTGTGTGTGTGTGTGTGTGCGTGTATGTGTGTTGGTTTGTGTGTGCTTCCTTTCTTATGTGCTTGCAGTCTGGGGGGAGGGGGAGGCGCCCCTCCCCACAACGGGAGCCCCAGGATCTGCGGCCCCGGGGGAGCCCTGGACGCCAATGCAGAAGGTCCCCCAGGCTGCCGGGGGCTCCCGGAGGCCCCTGCTGGGTCTGGGCAACGGGCCCGCATCGGTCAGCAGGGCGGCCGAAGGGCGCCGCGAGGGGCCCAAGAGGCCCCAGACATCCACCAGACGCCCGAAGACGGCGCAAAGAAGACCCTCAAGAAGCCTTCGGAACGCAAACGGACTGGTTTTTGCACGATTTTGGGAATGCTCTGTTCTTCGGTCTTCCTGGCGTCCGGGACCGCCCTGGATGCTTGGGGCCTGTTGGGGGGTTCTCGCCTTAGCGCCGCGCTCATTTGCTTTGAATAGGGGGCCACATGCGAACCCTACCCCTACCCCCCACGATTTCTGAGGGGGGGTAGGGGTAGGGTTCGCATGCGGCCCCCTAGTTGAAAGCTTGCAACCGTTTCGCGGATTCGCATGGCCGAAGTCCCAGAATTGTGTCCTGGCAAGATTTAGGACGGTCAACACGCAACAATCATGTGGATGCGCGGTGTTGAAGTCCCAGGAGCCGTGTCCTGGCACGGTTTAGGATTGTCGGGACGCAACAGTCACGCCGGTTCGTGACGCTGAAGTCCCCGAAATTGTGTCTTGGCAAAATTGGGGGTTCTCAGGTGTTTGTTCTCCAATGGGGCATTTCCTGCAATAGAAATAAATTCTTCTGGGGCCCTATGGAGGGGGAACTTGGAGGGAGGGTTGATTGCGATATCTCTGATGCGTCTTAGATTAGCACTGGTCCTCCTCCTCCTCCTCCTCCTCCTTCTCCTCTTCTTCCTCCTCCTCCTCCTCCTCCTCCTCCTCCTCCTCCTCCTCCTCCTCCTCCTCCTCCTCCTCCCCCTGCATGCCCAGTCCTCTGAGCAGTCCAGGTCAATCAGGCGCCCGATGACGGTCGGGCAGTTCAGGGGGTTGACCTGCACTACAGGGGGTGTGATGAGCAGGGAGAGGCGGAGCAGGGAGGAGGCGGAGGAGGAATCTGAGGAGGAAGAGGGAGGAGGAGGGGGGGGATGACGAGGGAGGAGGGAGAGGAAAGAAGGGAGAAGGAGGAGGGAGGAGGAGGGTGTGAAGCCCGAGGAGGCGGAGGAGGAGGAGGAGGAGGAAGAGGAGGAAGAAGAGGAACAGGAGAAGAAAGGGAAGACGACGCCCGCGCCTAGAACTGCCCCCTTCTGGCCCCACACAATGAGCGCTACCGACCAAACGCAAGGCTGGGGCGG